GAATGAAATGTCTGAATGGGTGCTCATCCAAGACTGGTGATTCCATACTTTTTGCCAGGGGTTGTATTTTTGTAGCTGCAAAACCTGACCTCTGAACAGTCTCTGATCAGTTTCTGTCTCATATTTTCATATGTTTTTGAGGAACAACCAGGTCTCAGTAAAGTAAGAATTGTTTTGTATTTTCTCTGCTTCTCGTTGACCGTCTTCACTTTGTTTCATTCAAAATCTAACGCTGGAAAAACATTTTTGAACCCTTTTCCTAATCGATATATCTTAACCTTGAGATCCTTTTCATGCTTTGTGAACTCTGAATGGTGAGTTCTGCTGTAGGATGTATAAGTATAACTCAGGAAAAGCTGCTTGGATGAAGGGCTTCAATAACAGCATGTCGTTTATTATTGGGCTGTTTCAAAATGAGTTGTTAACAACTTTAGTCTTCAGAACACTTTTAAATACCAGAACTTCATAAAAGAATTACAAAATTGGAATAATGTTGTGATTGTTTGTGGGAATACCAACAGGTGGTGTGGTTTCCAGAGAAAGATTCTGTTGGGGAAAAATTAATGTGGATGTTTCCATGAATGCCAATAGAATGAGTATGGTTATGTGGGCGTTACTCAGAAACAAATGCATCTAAGGGTGTGGGTAATGATGTAAGTCGAGTGCTGAAGTCAGTTTTACACATCTAATGTGTCACACTCATATCTAAGCTCTATCCATAAATTATATTTACCTGCTTTGCTCCTTTATGGCAGGTTGCATTTGTCATTATGGTCCATTCCAGACAGATTTCTGGAACCCAGAGACCTTGGGTTCTTTTCAGGCTGGGCTGCTGGGGCCGATTTGTTGATGTCTCGCTCTGTTTCAGCTGGTCTTGGATTGTACTGAGATTGAAGAGTAACACCACAAGCTTCATATCTTTCATTATTGTGTCGCAAAGAAATTATCTAAAACAGAATCGTGCACTTTTAATATTGGGCTTTAAAGTGCAGAAAGTGCCATAAGACAGACAACTATTCACTCTCTCACCTAGTGACAATTTAGAGTTACAAATTAACTTAAATCAGTGGGAGGAATCATACAACCTTCTCAATGAGAGATTCTCAGGCTCATCAAAGGAAGACTAAAATGTTTTGATTTGTGTTGTAGATAGAGATTGAACGCAGATATTTGGTCTACTTTGATCTGTTCGGCGAAGGAGTGGATGAAGAACCGGAAGGTGTCCTTTCCATTAATAAGAAAGATGGGGTGATTTACGTCCACAAGCCTGTGGACTATGAGAAGAATCAGAAACTCATGGTTTGACTCAACACACATATCAACATGTTTGGCTGACTTTCACATAATTTAGGTTTTGGGATGTACTATTATACAATGTACATGTTATTAATGCTAAATTTAAATAAGAAACACATTTTAACCTGTGTTTTGCCATATAGAAATCTAATCTCCTGTTTCTGAATATCTAAACTTGCAAAACAACAAATCTTTAAACTACCACAATTTATACATAAAACAATATTAAACAAATTGTCCATAAAATATTGTTATATTGTCACTAACTGCATTTTGTTTAAACTTATAGCTACATTTTGAAGCCAAAACAAATGAGTTCACAGTCGACACTCGATTAGGAGTCGAGATCCAAATACGAGACGTCAACGACAACCCCCCARTTTTTTTTAGAGATGTGTATGAAATCACTGTTAACGAGGATCTCCCACAAGGTAAAGGGCCAAACAAATGAGCCTTTTCTTTTAAAATGTATGTCCAAACGTTATTTATAGAGCCTGATCGTGTCTTTTTTCAAATCTTTTGACAACAGGTTCACCTCTCCTGACCGTGCGGGCTCATGATAAAGACAAGAGCCAAACATTAAACTCTACTTTCCACTACAGCATCAAATCTGTGTTCCCCAACTCTCCAAACACAGAGTTCTTTGTTAACGAACATGGACTGATCTCCTTTAAAGGATGCTTGGATTATGAGGCAAGAGGTTATTTTGTCAATGTGTCAGAATTACATTTTTAAAAACAATGTTTAAGTTACATTTCTGGTTCAGCTGGATCTGCAACTGACAAAATAATTTATGGTGTTATGGTATGTTTGCAAATGAGTAGAGTGTGTGTTTGCTGAGTATTGTCAAATACATATAGAATACTTCAAACAGAACTATTATGGAACGTGATAGACCCACTTGTTCACACTGTCTTATGTGTTTTACTTTTACATTTATAGTTTTATAGCTTATTTTTCTTTTTGGTGTTTTATCGGCTCTTATAACCTTTTAATTGTTCAGCACTTTGTTTGAAAGCACTTTATAAATGAAGTTATCATTATTATTATTATTATTATTATTATTATTATTAGTAGTAGTAGTAGTAGTAGTAGTAATAGTAGTAGTATTAGCCCACAAGGAGATGTTTGCGACTGTTTTGACTCCAACACCATGTGTAATGTAGTAGTTTTGGCAGAGATACAGTGTTCCTGTTTCAATGGAATGAAAGTCAAGTTATATGAACAATGAATCTAATCCCTATTTTTTTCATTATCAAGGCAGGTGACAAGCGTACAGTTCTGGTGGAGGCCATAGACCATGGTGACAAAGTCAGYCTGTCCAGTTCAACCACTGTACTCATCCATATCCAAAGTGGCAACAACCACCTTCCAGTCATCAGCGGTCAAACGGTATGCAGATGTTTTACTTAAACTATCTTCAACTGCATGGACCAGTGGCGGCTGGTGGATTTTTCTCCAGGGGGCCTACAACTCCAAAACTAGATGTATCTCAAAAAGCAATCAAACGTACTAAATTGTTTTATGCCAGTGTATTTATTAAACAAATCAAAAATAATAAAACAGTCATGTAGTTTTTCTTTTCTATACATAAATTTTGCTCTTCTGTAACTGAGAAGCAAATTTCTTCAYGACTCTGGTTAAATTCAGGGATGTTTTAACAAGGTTTTTCTTTAGATCATGGTCAGTGCAGTGAGATGTGATGTTGTACCTGAGGAAAGTCTGGATTCTCTTCAGTGTTGAGAAGCTCCTCTCAGATTCAGCTGTGGTCAGAAGAGATGTGATGAGAACCTTCAGCAGAGTCACAGTCTCTGAAGGTGTCCTGCAGATTGTTCTCCATGAAGAGCTGCTGGTACAGATCCACAGCACCACTGCAGCTCCTGAACTAGATCAGAATTCTTGGTCCTGTTCAGCACTGGGTGAGCCTCCATGGTCTTCAGTGCTGCTTCAGAGAACTGTCCTGCAGGAACCTGTCAGCCTGCAGCAGGGTAGCTCTGATCAGATGCTTGTGAACGGCTCAAGATGGTGTCACAAACCTAAAACAATAAATGCACAAATTTAATTCAATATGGAGATGGCTACAAGTGAGCTTAAAAAATTAGGCCACATGCTGCGCTCCAGGCCACCCTTTTCTTTTGCATTGGGGACTTAACCGCGCAAGTCCAAAATCTTACAATGACTTGTGTATGGGAATCTGGGGTGCCGAACCGCTCGTGACTCGGATGTGACTCAACACGAAAAAGCTCATGAGTAAAATGGAAGTTTACACATCAATAACTTAAATTATTTATTTTACTTATCAGAAAACATATATACAATATTTTTCTAAACATTTATGACATTTTATTTTGTTATTTTAATTTTTTATTTTTTTTGTGTACCACAAATAGTGGTGGGGCAGCGCCCCAGCATCCCCTATTGACCAGCCGCCACTGGCATGGACTCATCTTTACCCACTCTTCCTCACCAAAGTTCTCAAAATGTGTCAGGCTAACTGTGTTTCAACTGATTATTGAATGGATAAGATGACATAAATTAGACAGACAAACAATAGGAACACATAAAAGCACTGCATATGAATGCTACGTAATATAGAGTGGTCATGCTGAGTGTTAGCAAAATGTAGCTTGCATCAATTAGCGTTGGGTTACTGCTACTTAACCTTGTTAGGTAGTTGTGACGTTTCAAACTGCCTGTATTCATTCATCCACATTTTTTACATGACAAAAGTTCCAGGATCTCAGGGAATTTTCAGTTCTTGCTGTTTTAATTTATATAGCATATTCAGTTAGTATTTGCTTGTATTTTTGCATTTTTGTATTTGTTCGTTTAATTGTGTTGCTGTGATCATGTCGCTGCTGTTTTAGTGTTTTTTTATTGTTACCTCCGCCAAGGGAGGTAATGTTTTCGGTCGTGTACATCTGTCTATCTATCTGTCTGTCTGTGGACAAAATTACTCAAAAACAGTTGACGCATTGTCATGAAATTTTTACCACATGTGGGTACTGGCCCAAGGAACACACCATTGAATACTGGTGATGTTCCAGATTACGATGCGGATACAGGAATTTGTCTTTTAATTCAAGCGAATCAGCCAGGCTACGCAGTGTCATTACGTCAGATGCATGCCTAAACAGGAAGTGAAGTCGCAAACTCACTGGGACAACACCTCCCAGGATGTCTACTATCGGGAAAGATATGATTATTCTGTTATCAACTAATATTGGTGATGTTACATGCTGTCTGGAGACGTAGAGAAAGAAATGGGATTCTCTTCACATTATGGGAATAATTGAGAAGACACCGACAGCGGGGGGAGGGTCCTGCTGCAGCCGAGCCAAAGCTGGTACCGGCGTTACACCGGTTCAGTACCAAACAGCGGAAACAGCTGATCGACCATGTGAGGTACCCCCTCCACATAGGAACTTCATAGAGTCAAACCACTAAAAATTCATAAAAGGGGATAAAACAGACATTTTATACAGTGGAATGTGACTGATGAAAACTTTGGMGCTTAATCTGGGACCAGTTTGTGGATGAATAATGTTGGGGGGTGACGAGTCTCTGAACTTTTTTTTCGTATTGGACTCCACCGGGAAGAAATCCCATTCATACTGCCTGCTTAAATGTTCACTATGTCACAACTTTTTCGGCAAATGTGTTTCCATCTCTCCTTTTGCGCATTAACTCTTTTGCAGGATGGGGGAAAGTGGCCTCGGTGGAGGTTTGCACTCTCCGAGTGCTTCTATTTTTTAGTGTTTTTGGTGTAACATTTTTCTTGGTAAACTGGGACCTTGAGTTTGTAGTTTCGTTCCTCCCCATGTATCACATGTGATGCGAATGACAATAAAATATCCTTGAATCCTTGAATTTCATTTTATTCTTTCCTTTGCTCCAGGGTAAAACATGATGGCATTTTAATTAAACTCACTCCTTGTATTTAAACGACAGGGTTCTGGCAAAGTGAATGAAAATGAGTCTGGGACTTCTCCTTTGAGGGTCCATGTGAAGGACAAAGACCCCATCCACAGCAAGGCATGGAGAGCCAAATACAAAATAAATAATGATAAGGGCAGGAACTTCAAGATAGAGACAGATCCAGAAACCAATGATGGTATCCTGACTGTGGTAAAGGTGAGAGGAGTGTGTTGGCTGCTTTYTATACATTCCTGTCACAACTTCTGTACATTTACTCCAACAATTATATCACATACTTGTTTCTGTCTAGCTTGCTCTCAGACTGCATTGTATTTTTTTTTTACCTTGTATTTATTCACACACTAATGTAGAAACTGCTCTGATTTTAGTCAATGAACTATGAAGAAAATGCAACCAGAGAGCTAGAGATCTTGGTTGAAAACGAAGTGCCATATTTCTTCTGCAAAGTGAAGCAGAAGACGAAGGAGGGTCTWTGGAATGTTGAAACCAGTAAAAATGGAAAACCTCCAGTTGATGATGGTCAGCCCCATTCAACAAAAGTTGTCATACAAGTAGAGGATGTCAATGACCCCCCAGTGTTTAAGGTGACCACCCAAAATGCCATGCTGGAGGAGAATGTACCRATTGGAACATGGGTGAAGAAAGTGACAGCTGTGGACCCGGACTCCGGTTCAGGAAAAGGCATTATGTAAATATACTTTCAAACATKTGTTTAAGCACACATCTGGACCTCTATTTGCTAAAGTGTRTTTATATTTGTCCACAGTTACAAAATAGCAAACGATACTGCAGGCTGGTTGAAGATCGATCCCAACACCGGCGACATCACCACCGTACAGAAACCTGACAGAGAATCTTCTCATGTTGTTAAAGGCATATACACTGTATCAGTGTATGCAGTGGATAATGGTAAACACACACTTTAACAAATGTGGTAGTAGAATAAATGAAATGCTTCATGAAACTGCTTTTAAAATTCCTGAACAGGTAAGCCACCTATGACAGGCACAGCTACAC